GATTCTCTCCCCATCCCACCGGGGAGGGGAGGAGTGAGCGAGCGAGCGGTATTTGGCGGCCTGCCAGGTTAAACCACTATAGAGATGTATGTTATTAAGCCTGTCCATACTCAGTGCAATATTGATAAACTGTAATTGGTTAGAGGCCTGAATCATGCTGAGGAGCACTTGGGGCACAGCTGAGCTTTGTTCATGCATGCAAGCTTTTGGAAGAAAGATGAGCAGTTTGATTCAATTGAATCTGAGCACTTAATTTAGTGTAGCCTGGGAGGAACTGAATGTTCCCCTGTTGTGGTCCTGCTTCGGCGTTGTCATGTCCTTGCTAAGAATCTCTGTTTAATCAAGTATGTGAGCTGAAGAGGGGGGTTTGCACTGATTTTTTTGTACTGAAATGTTCTAGAAGGTTTTCTTTCCTGCTTGGAATTGCTTGCAAGAAAATGTGTATGTTTTTGAGAGGGAATTATCTGAAGGACGCTGCACAGTAGACACAATTTCTGTTTGCTTTCTTGTTTTGCAATGGTCCTTGTTAAAGAACAATTCTAGTTGTAATCTCGTTTCTAAGATTAGTGAACTAGTTCAGGCTTTAAGCGTCACGTAATCAGTGTTTTAGGGGGCTTTGTGTGCAAAGGCAGGTGAGGAGGTTTGACTGTGATCTGCATAAAAACCTTGAATACTTGTCTTTCAGAGTGGGAAAACTCAAAAAGGTGAGGAAAAAACGACATTAAGATATTTGAGATTAATTGACAATTACATCTTTATATTTTGGTATACTGTGACTACTGCTACCAAATAGAACTGCAGTTTATAACTTCTTTACCAATGTATAAATGTGAAAAAAATATCAGACAAGTTTAATAGCTGTTCATCCTGAAATAGAGGTAAAAATACATCTTTATTTTTGTGCTATTTTTTTTCCAGCCTAGTAATCCGTGGTGAAAAGGATGAACAAGCAGTGTTGTGCAGCAAAGATAAAACTTATGACATGAAAATAGCAGATACCTCAAATATGCTGCTGTTTATTCCTGGGTGCAAAACACCAGAACAGCTGAATGCAGATCAAGCACCTTGTAATATTATTCATTCACAGGTATGTCTTCCTGGGTTTTTGTTTGTTTGCTTTAATTCTCTACTTTCTTATTCTCTATAATTTCTTGTATTTTATCCAAGATGCATATGAGAAACCCAGCTGGGATTCAGTTGCCTAAACATAGGCTTCTAATACCATTTTCGATGCATTGTGGTATTGGTCTAGCTATGAGCTGCCACTCCGGAAGGACGTGAGTCTCTTATAGGTTCTTTGTATATTGAATAGCCCCAGGAGGATGTCTTTATAAATATGGTTCGTACACAGGGGGCACGCTGTCCCTCAGGGTGTCCAAAATGGCTGTAGGGCCCTTCTTTAGGCAACTGAACTTTATCCATAATGTATGATAATTATTGTTTCTAAAAAGTTAAAACTTTCGTTTATTTTCAGTGGATAGTAATTACTTGTGTTAGGTATTAAAAGCTTTCAAAGAAAATTTAATTTCTCAGTGTTAGCAGCTATTTTTAAAATAGGCTGTTTGCAAATTTTTTCTTAGGAGTGCTTTCCCTGAAAGGTAGATTTTACCATGTCATGCCTGAATATTATTTTTTAAATACAGAAATATATTCAAAGGTGACTCTCTTTCAACTAGCATCTGGAAAGATTTGTTGGAGTGAATGATTTTAGAGTTCTCAGTTTAAAGAATTCATTGTTCTCTGCTCTTCTGAAGCATAGTTAATAAAATTCTACTAAAAATAATCAGGCAAATATTATTACTATGTCATTATTTGCTGTAATGGATATAATGACATCATTGAAGAATAATCCTGCTTGTCCTTACATGAACATAATAATCAAAACAACGTCATTTCTTCCGTGAAGTCAGCAGTTCAGCTAATAGAAAAAGTTAATTCAAACTAAAGTAGATTAATGAGAAAGTAATATTCTTCCATATTCTTTTTTTTTGCTATGTTTAATGATCTCACTAGTCCTCTGAAGTCACATATGTCAACATGATATAAATGTGATTTGCTTAGGAATTATTTTTAGAGTTTTATTTCTAAGTGCTCTCTTAATGTTTTCAAAAACATTACATAGTGTATTGACACTGCAAATGGAAACATAGCAAAAGATACTATGTTTACTCAGTGTGTTGGGGCTTCACTGCCCTTCTCCTGCAGTCTCGGTGCCGTTCTTTGTACCACTTGCAAGGTTAATACTCACGGGCAAAGCATCTGCCATTTTATTCACCTCACACAGACCAGCTCCAGTTATGAGCTTTGGATTATAAATTAGAATTATTTATTTTCTTTTCTATGCAGAGTACCTTCTTGTTCATTATCAAATTGCTCAGAAAAAAACTTGGCAGGAAAAAAAATCTAACGCTTAGGTAAATGCTATTTGACGTGGAGGGAAAAAAGCTTAGAAGTTTATCAGGAAATTAGTATTTACCTGAATTTTGTGCCAAGCAAGCTATGGAATAGTTAGATTAAAAACTGAGAGCTTTCTCTGTATTAGAATTTGGATAGGACTTATTCTACATATAGGTGGTTTGCTTATAGTTGATTTAAATGCAACATTATTTTAAAGTTTGGGTTTTTGGGGTTTTTTTTTTTTTTTTTTTTTTTTTTTTAAAGGTCATCCATTAAAAAACAAAATAAGTAGTCTGATGAAGCATTTAGGTTATTTTAAAGTACTATCTGGAGGCTTTTTCATGGAGGCTGTGGTTGGGTCAGGAGTCACGAACCTGGAGCCTGTTCTGCCTCTGCCATTCTGTTGGTTTGGTAAATGGCAGAAACAATGCTGAAAGGCCTCCGATACACTGTCCTCTTCAAAGAATCTTTTAGGAAATCCAAGCTGTACCCCATGAAACACCTCAGGATTGCTCTGAAGGTAAAGTTTTATTAGATTAGTGTTGTTGAATCGATTACACCTGAGTTTCCTGTTGCACCCTTTAAATTTGTGTGTTGAATCACAGTAAGGAACAGAGATGTCTTGTTAGTTGTATGCAAGTGTAACTTACTCTCTCATTAATGTCTGTTTTACTTGAGCTTAGTGACATGATGATTCATTAAGGTGTAAAAAGACTATGAAGTAGATCCCAAGCATGGGAAGAAGTAGGGAAGATGGAAACAGGATAATACAGGAGGGGTTTTATGGCAGCAATATAACTTATAAGATGAAAAGAAATGTTGATGAGGACTGTGCAGAAATATATCCCATGACGATATTCTATCATTTGCATGTAGAGATGAGTTGTTCCCTTTGTCATATGCACTACGAACATATTTTTATCAACCAACAGTGGATTTTTATTCTTCATTGCCTGCGGTAAATTTTTTAATTGAAAATATTACAATGATTGTTTCATCTTTAAAGTAATTACCCTATTAATAAATTCTTGTTCTCAGTGACTAAATTAATACTTTTTGCTGATAATTTTTGGTAAGCTTCTTTGAATCCAAATGGTAGATTAAAATGTTTTAAGAGTTGCTGTTTTTTCTTGTAGATTGCTGGCTTTGGCAATAACTATTGGGAATTAAGGAGATGTCGACCTAAACTGAAGAAACTGAGGAAGCTTTTAATGGAAGATCCATATGAAGGGCCAGATAGCCGGAAAGATCAGACTTTGACATTTTCAAAGGTAAATCAGCTACGTAAATTTCTTGTAATTGGTAACGGGCAAACTAAAGTGAAGATACATTTTTAACTAGAAAAATACCTTTGCTCCCATGTTTCACAGTGCTGCTTTGAGTTAGTTTTTTGAGCCTACTATTCTAAACAAGTTGGTAATTATTAGCACTTCCACTGAGTAGCAGGTAAGCAACCTTTTTTTAGTAAAAAAAGGAAAAGGAAGGACACCAAAAGAGACTGAGGATTTCCCTTTTTATGTGGGGATTTTCTTGAAGACAGTCTTCAGAACCTTTTGTAAGTTCCTTGAGAATTATATGACTACTAAGGTATAATGCAGCCTTTCCTCCTTCTTTGGGGCTGTCATGTGTGACATGTCATGTATGAGCTAAGTATATGGTCACAGGACACCCACGTACAAGTCGCTTGCCAATCAGTAATGTATGATGACAAGGAGAAACACGGAGTTGCAGAGAAAGACGAGGATAATATAAGGCAGAGAATAAGACTGACACTACAGGAAGGGAAAACACAAATAAAATCCTGTCCTGCTGCCCTTTTATGTTTCTAGGAAATCCAGTGTAGGATCTAAACAGTAATGGAGAGACCTGGACTGTGCAGCATATGATCTCAGATAAAAGGCTCATAAAAATCCTGGAGTTTTGTTAGTTTGGTTGGTTTTCCTTTTGACTTTAAAAAACAGAAATGGTTGCTCCAGAGTCTTTTACACTGAGGCTTGGTTGAAGCTGATACTAACAAACCATCTCTGTGTGCTTGCATGTACAAACATAGATGTTACTTTTCTCCCTTGGAGAGAAATGCTGCCTCTCTGGATGATTAACCGTCTAATTTCTGATAAGTTTCAGAATCTTTCCCCCAGCATTGCCTTCTCCCCCTTTCATTTTTCCTACCTACTCTGGTCTTGGCATAGAAGGACATAGCAGCAAAATAAGGGATGGCAGAAGGAAAAAGGCTTAAATTGTCCAGAAATTACAAGCATTGACTAAGGCTAGCAACACAAAAAGATGTCATATGCAATAGTATTTACTGATAATATTAAGTTAATTTTATAAAAACATGTCAGTGTCTCCCAAACATTAGTGCCTAGTTTGAGGACTGATCTTCTCCATTTGTTTTGAAGGAGAATGTTTCATGCATCGGATTACTAGAGAATAACTAGATATGTCTGATAAACGTAGATGAATCTTAGCTATGCCACTGGTGGAACTTTAATCTGAAAGCTCTCCACGGGAAAGCTCTCTTTCCTATGGGACTAATTCTCACTGGATTCCAAACAATACGTGTGTAGTAAAAATTTTTGCTGTGTTGTTCGCTTATACTTAATATTTATTGGGTGCTGGCAACAAATAAGCCATCTTTAATTTGTTTGAAAACAAATTGTTATGTTGTGGTGGCTTACTGTAAACTTCTCATGGTTTTCAGTTGTTTGTACTGTATCATACACAGAGAACTACAGGAAAGGAACCAAAAGGAACTATAGCACTATAAGGAATTACTGTAAGGAAGCCTGATGCGTAGTGATGTGATTTAGTAGACTACAGGAAAATTTAGAAACAGGCTAGTACACAGCCTGCTCAGGATGCACCAAATTAAAATCCTGGGGTTTACAGTGAGATGGCAAGGCGTATTCAAATGATTGAATGCATCCGAGTTAATGTATTTAATGTGTTTCTTACCCTTATCTGGAAATTGCTGGTATAGACGTGATGCAAGTCAATCCATTCCATTTTATGTTTACAAGGATGATGCAGCTGATAAAAGCATCGTAGCCGAGAGCAGTGATTTCTTAAAAAAGTTGTTGGAATGCTAGCCAGGCCTCAGAGGGGGAGCAAATGCCAACGACTCCTGTGCGGGGTCTTATCTGAATGGCAGTATCTAACTCTTAAGACACACTTGCATATTGATCTGGGGATATTTTTGCTCTCATTTGCTAGCAGTGTTTTTTAAAGTATTGTATAATATGGTCATCCCTTGCTGAAATACTGATGTGGGTTCAGTGCTGTGTAGCCTGATGATGTTTCAACATACTGTCTAATAGGAATGGCATAGCAGGAAGAGGAGACCTTTCTGTATTTATTAATTTTTTTTTTAACGTGGATGTTCCAAACTTAGTGTTGTTCCATTTGTGTTCCCATGGTCTAACAGATCTCAAGTACTTAATCCAATTTTTTTTTTTTTGATAGGAACTATTCTTATGCTATAATCAACAAAACTTTATATTAAGAGTTGATTAAAAAGGCTGTAAGGTGAATAAAGGAATTGATGAAGCCTGATTTCCTATCAATTTTCAGTCTGGTGTTCCTTCCCTTTACTTCACTCCTCCTGATACCTTCTGTTCCTCCCATGTCTCCTAAATCTTTACCGCAGTGTCCACAGCACCCTCCCATCTCACCAAGTAACTGTTCTGCAAGGAGCTGTATGTACTGTGGCTGGGTCTGTGCTGCATGTCTGCTAATTGGTTAGCAGACACCAAAACACAATACGTAACTGTTGAGGTCATGCTGGAGGAAGCTTTCCGTCAGTGGAGGTACTAAGCTGGAGTTCTGACTTCTATCCAAAAGTGATAAGTGATTTTTGTTTTGCCTTTTCTTTGAATCCCACAGATTAAAATATGTGATTTAGGAAAGACAGAACACATTGACTTTTCATTCTTGCTGTGATACTTTACTTATGATGCCTACTTGGGCTAGTTTGACATCCTGGGAATACAGGTATATTACTTATGCATTGTACAAGACTTCCCTGTAGTTAGACTGGTTTTTATATTGAATAACCCTTCGAGAAAATGTTGTAAGTTACAGGAAAACTTTCAGAGAGTATGGTAAACCTTAGAAAATTCAGAGTCTGGGGAAAAAACCATCAATCTTCTAAGTCTTTCTTTCATTATATCTTATTATGCTTTTAGCATGCTTGCTGAAGCAAAGGAGAGGAGTAAGGATAACCTGTTTTATTGCCTTCATTTTTTTCCTTGTTGCAGTATACAACAGAAGATTTGTTAAATCTGATTCAAGCAAGTGAAGAAGAAATACTGCACCAACTGCAGGTTATAGATGCCTGCAAAATTGAAGGTATTGGTCTCTAAAGAATATTACTGCCTATGAGGAAATAACCCTGCTTTTTTCCCAAAACACGTGTCTCTCCTTTTTTCTAAGGCCCATTCCACATCCTCGTCTTTCAAGGTGCAAGTTACTTCAAAGTACTAAGATCTGCTTCCATATTTCCTGTATCCTCTGCTGCTATGAAGCTGATCAAAAAGATAAAACTGAGCAGGCATTGACCAGTCTGGCTCTTTCCAGGGTAATTCCTTCTTTGCTTCTACAAACACTGGCATCAGAGTATCCCACCCATAGCATGAATATTTTTTGGTTGGTTGCTCTCTTCATGGATGAGTGGGTACTGCTTTCTGCAGTTCTAGAGGCAAAAATAGCTGCTCCTTAGGTAACCCCAGCCCTTTGATAGTCCTTTCTTCCTCCCAGACTGGGTTTATCCAGAAGTCTTCCTACCATATGAGGCATATAGACCAAGTGCTTCACCTTGGGACAGCTCCTACTCGTCCTATACTTGGCCAAGCCCAAACCCAGACGCGAGGTGACAGCAGTCCTAGTCATAGAATAATACAGGGCAGAACTGAGTTCTGGAGGTTATCGGATCCAAACCCTTGCTTTAGAACAGGGCCAACTTAGCGCTGGCTGCTGAGGGCCTCAACTCGTCAAGTTCTGAGCATTTCCAAGGATGGAGATTGCACAACCTCTGTCCAGGCTGTTCCAGTGTTTGACTATCCGCAAGGGGGAAAAAAGTCTCCTAATAATCAGCTGGGATTTCCCTTGTTGCAACTTGTGCTTGTTGCCTTCTGTCCCATCACTGAGCACCACTGGGAAGACTTCTGCTTCGTCTTCTCTATGCAATCCCATTAGGTAGGTGAGGACAATCTCACAAATTACTTTGTCATTTACAGCTGCACAGCACCAGATCTGTGCTTTGTCACATCTGGATTTCTGTGAACTTGGCTGGACCTGAACTGCCACTTTGCAGGGCCAGTGCAGCCAGTTCTGTTTATGCAGTTCTGTGCCTTAATTAATTATTTTTTTCAGGGTTTTTCCCTGAAAAAATCAGTTTTTCCAGGTCTGATTCATCTTGGGATGGAATTTGTAGTGTCTTTGTATCTGTGGCAGTTAATCTACATAAACAGTTATGAATAATTGAGATAATTTTATTTTTTCTCCTTTCCTTTGCTCTTACTATTTTGTTCTTTTTCTCAATTTTAATCCTGAAAAGGACAGAATGCTGTCGCTGTACTGTTTAAAGATGTGACCTAAATGTCCAGACTCCTGTAATGTATCTTCAGGGGAATAGCATTAAGGTGTTAATGTTTTCCTTCTAACACTGTTTTGTGGTTTTCTACTTGGCAGGATATTGGAGAATTTTGGAATTTGACTATGAGATGAAACTCTTGAATCACGTGACTCAGCTAATAGACTCAGAGTCCTGGTCTTTAAGTAAGGTTCCTTTACGTACCTGCCTTGAGGAACTTGGTTCTTTAGAGCCCACGTAAGCAATTACTTCTAGTACTTAAAATTGTCTACAATCATTATTAACTATTACTAATTGCAATCATTATTAATTATTTTTTAGGGTTATAGTCTTATAACTCTAGATTCCAGTTACCATGGTGTTCATGATATATTTTCTTTGGCTCTAAAATATACAAGGGCATTAGTAGTTTAGTCAGGCAGGTTACTAATCTGATTTTAGTGTCTATTGGTAATATTTCCATTTATTCAATAGTAGAAACATTACTGCTGAATTGCAAATGATGGAAGTAGCATGTACTTAAGCCATAAATTGCTGACCATCTTGAAATACTTGTTCTGAAGCTAGCCAAAAATGTTTAGTTTACCTCTTGCATAATGTCTGAGATGGTGGTATATTTTCTGGTATAATACTGAATTCAGATCTTAAGAGTTGAGTTTATTGTACTGCTAGTTGGAGTCATGAAATAATTTAAGATTACCATTCAAACAAACAACGTTTACAATATGTAACATTTTCCACTTATTTGGCTTTTGGCTCAAAAAGAAATCTTGCTTTAGTATTAGTGTCTGCAGTTAGGTTGTAATTTTATGCCAGAGGTCTAGAAAAATACCTGCTATTCAGTAAGGGATAATTAACTGCCAAATTTGTGACTTGCATCACTTCTCATTGGAAAGAAGTGATATTGCCAGAGTCTCTTTTCCTTATTCTCGTTACGCCTTTTAGTCTTTGCTAGTTATAACTAGAAAGTGGAAGAGACTTTTGGGGATGACATGCGGAATTAACTCCGATCTGTCCTTTTAGTCCCCTTTTGTCTTCTTTTAACTTACTTCTAGGTTTTTATCAATTTGTTCATTTCAGCCACAAAGACGTGTCCCATCCTCCATTCTCCTTGATTTTTTTTTACTTTACCTGTTCCTTCATCTTCTTCTTGGTAACTGTTTCTGTAATGTCCTAATGAACAGTTTTATACCTTGATTTCTGATTTTTTTTTTTTTTTTCCAGAGAGATGATAGAACATATTCTTTTAAGCTATGGAAGGAAATACATTGATGATGGTAAGTTTAGGAAAGCACGCATATTTTAATTTTGCATAAAGGAAATAGTTATTCATGAGTAAGTGCAGCTTTTGTGAGGATGGCCCAAACAAATGAATTTGCTACAATGCCAGTAAAAGGAGGGAGCAGTGAGCTAAAAATCAGTAAAATTGTTAGAGAAAGTTTCATAGGAAAAAGGACTATTAAACTGTACAAGACACTAGGGAAAAATCAAGAACTATCAGAGGTACCTGAAGTGATTTATTAGGTGTCTACAAGCCATAATTTTGTGACTAAAGACAGATCACTAGTAAAATTTAGCTGAATGTCTCCTTAGTTACCCTAGGAGGTCTCAGATGTTTAAGCAATTAATTGTGTTATTGTGAATAGTTAATGACACGTAGATCTCCCTGAATTCAGCTTGCCTGAAGCAGACATCTGCCTTTGATCCCTTGAACTGCACCGCAAGATCCGTTGATTGTATTGATTAAATCTCTGTTGCCCATCTCACATATAGACATAATATTTCAGTGCCTTAATCTCTATCTGAATTCTTCCCCACAATTGCTTTCATCCCACCTTTGGCTGAAGTAGGAGTTGCACTCAACCTTAAAGGACATAAGAAAGTAGTTGGAGTGACACAGGTTGTCTTCGTAGGATATCTAGGCAGGTTGCACAAGGAACAAGTTTGAATTGCAGAAAGTCCAGATGACTGAAAAAGTGGAAGGAAGTGTTTATTCCTGATACTGTTCAGAGAATTTTAGCTAAGTCAGCGTGAAAGAAAATAAATTCTCATTATTCCCTTCATCATCTCATATTGTAAGGATGATTAAGGAAGTGAAAGTTTTGTTTAATTGTTCAACCACAGACAGCAAACACTGTAATACATTCAGAAATAGGAATGAAAGCTGTAGGAGAAACAGTGTTACTCTGAAAGGGGAAAAGATGGGAAGCAAATACATTTATTGGTATGAATGAATACTGCAGCTTGGACAGTGCTGCGCACACGCGTAATATTCTGCTTAATTTGTTCTTGAGAATGAGAAGATACCATCATTTATCCAAAGAAATACCAAGTCAGGTTACTCCCTGAGGAAGAGAAAAAACAGGATACTTGGTTTGTAGAAGACTGTAGAACAGAATGGAAATACAAGGCTGTTCTTTTTTCTTTTATCAAAAAGCAAGAACCCAAGATAACCTGTTTTTGTTTCTCAGCAGGGGAGGTTTACTTTGAAATGCATGAAGATAAAATATGCAGAGCTATAGCACACATGCTTTTGCAAAATGCAGTTAAATTCAATCTGTTGGAGTTTCAAGAAGTCTGGCAACAAAGTGTCCCTGAAGGGATGACAACAAGGTTTGATCAGCTTAAGGTAAAAACAAAGTATGGATTTTTTCATGAGTAGGCTGCTAACTGACTTGTGTCATATGTAGATTTTATCAATTAATGGGGATCGATTGTGTTATTTCTGTCAGTTTTTGAGTTAAAGTACATCTTACGACATCCTCTATGAGTATCAGTAGTCTGGAATAATGACAATTCAGGTTTCTGCAAGTTTGGCATGTTTTATTGTTTGAAGAAAAGTTGCAGCTGTATAGTTAATACTTGTAACTAGAACAGAAGCGGAAGCTATTGTTGAGCAGATTGTAGTGACAGCCAGTAGAGTAGCAAGCACTATGGAAATCCTTTTGCTCAAAGGAGGCAGAGAGATGTTGGGAATTAATGGATTTCCCCCTCCCTTCTTGTCATAAAGGAAATGATAAATACTGCCTGTAAAACAGCGCCTTTATGATACTTTTTCACTTTGCCTCTAGTAGTGCAGTTTTAGAAGGCTTTGGAGGTGCAAAGAACAACTTATATTGCCAGAAAGAAGGAAGTTTAATTGTTTTGTCTTTACTTAACACTTCTCTCTGATGCTGATCTACAGGGCTTGGCTCTTGTGGACAAAAGCTCAAGACCAGAGACCATCTTTCTGCTAAAAGTAGAAGACTTACCTGAAGACAATCAGGAAAGATTCAATAGCTTATTCAGCATACGGGAAAAGTGGACAGAAGTGGATATTACCCCTTACATACAGTAAGAATATATTTCTTTTTATTAAAATATAATTAGTGTTATATTCTTCCCTTTTTGCATAGCTGACTTCTTATCAGCAATGATTGCCTCAAATACTATACTTTCCATTTTAAATGGGGATTCTGTATGAATAGAATCCCCACCCCTGGGAACGGTAGCTATATTCATTGGATTTAAACTTGTGTAAAGAGCTGATCCTACTGAATTTAAATGGGCGATAACTGTCTTATTTGATTGAGGCAGACTTAAAGGATAAACCTCCTGACATTTATAATCAGTCTCCATATTTACAACACAAGAACTATAGAGCAATAGTGCTTCCTATACTGCGTCCTTTGTTCTTTTGGTTGTTAACACTTAAGCTACAGTGCTATCTGGAAGGCCCAGCCAGGATACATGTGAGCAGATATAGATAGTAACTCAGAAGTAACTGCATCAAATCTTTGAGTGGCTCTAAATTTACTGTAATGTAGTTAACTAGTTCAAAGCTAACTGTTCTGCTAGACTGAAAACTCTTTAGAGAACTAATAATAAAAAAACAACCAACTCCCCCTAAAAACCAAAATCCTTGTTTCTGAAGTAAACAATGTAGTTTTGGCTGTTGCTTAAATGTCAAGCCAAGTTCTATACTTTCAGTAATTTAAAGCATTATGTGACAGTTACAGGTTTTTTTTCTCCCAATACCCTAATCCAGTTTATTGCTATATTTACAAGTATTTCACGGATTCATTTTGCATGAGAATATCTCTAATGCCGATGTCATCTGCTTTATTTCCTCTATAGAGACTTATGTGCAGAGAAGCAGACAGTTGGTGCTCTTCTGACAAAATATGCTCGCTCCTCAATGCAGAATGGTGTTAAAGTTTATAATTCTAGAAGACCTATCTCATAACAAGTATTATTTTAAGAACTGAGAATACTGAATGGAGTAACAGTGAATGTTTCTTGTTACTGCCTTCTGGGGAAAGGAGTTATCAACCGATATTATACAGTGTTCTTGAGTTTAAGCAGCTAAGCTTCTTGAACGAGTTCTGTTTTCTGCTCAGCTAAGTAGAATGTGAGGACACTTGCCTCTTCTAAGAAACTAGTGTCAGCAGCCTTTGCCCGTCTTCCTCTTGCCCGTCTTCCTCTTGCCCGTCTTCCTCTTGCCCGTCTTCCTCTTGCCCGTCTTCCTTTTCCTTTGTGTCTGTAGTTACGCCAGGAGTCAAGCTACTTCTTGAATACACTTTAGCTGTCTATCCATGAACTGAAGTCTGACATTAAAAAAACCTCCTTGAGAATAATTGAATCAATTGGATTGATTTCAACAGCAAAATGGAATGCTTCGTCTTTTGCCTATTAGTGAGCATTCTTAAAGATTGTCATTGCAGTGTTGACATTTTGAATACTGCAGACCTTGACAAGCTCATGAACAAATTATTCCTGACGGAGACTATACTAGTCGTAATTTTCGAAGGTGGTTCTTTTTGTGGTCATGTCTGTGAATAACATTGGCACAAGCTCTTGACACTTTAACACTTGGCAGAATTGCCTTTTAAATATTACAAAAAAACAAATTGCAATCAAGTGTGAAGATATGAGAGAATAGTTAGACATTGTGTTATGAACTTCCTATAAACTGCCATTAGAATGTAGCTGATGTAAAATTAAGTTTTACAGAAGACTACCTTTGCTTTCTAAAGAGAGCTTATAACACTTTGTAATACGATTATTTTTTTAAAACTTTGTTATGGCAAAAAAACACATAGAAATTGTGTCTTGAAAACTTAGAGTGGAATTCTGTGTAGAGCAATGAAACAGGATTTTTTTTTTTTTATGGTATTGTCATAAAGTGGAGTGCCTGAAATTGAAATTTTGTAATAATTAAAAAGGACTGTTTGCATGTCAGTGAACTGGAGTTTAATATTAGACATTTTTCAGATTTTTTTTTAAACTTAACAGTTGTAGGGTTTTTTATACAAAAAGCATTTGCTGCATCAAACTCAGATGTAAGGCATGAAAAACTTTGGAATTGCTAGTGTGCTAAATGTAGGGTGAGCGGGGAGAGGAAAGAAACTGTAAATCAAATGTAACCCTTAAGATGGATGTGTGCATCCTTGGAATTTCATTATAGATTAAAAAGCTGAATAAAAACTACTTCCTGAGCTCTGCTTATTCTTGTCCACTGATGCAAGATTACTTCGCTGTGCTCCACATTTCTGAAGTGTGCAAGTGTGGTGTTTGACTTAGCTGTGGAGGCTCAGCGAGCTTATAAAGGCTCTATGCCGGGAAGAATTGCCGGGAAGTATTCGCTGTCCAGTTTCAACAGCCGTGTCCTTTTAAGAGCTCCAGAAGACTCCCTCTCAGAGTTGGAGAAGAGGAGGCTGAGGGGAGAC